ATATGTGAGGACGTGATCTAGAAGCATATTTGAAGCTCTTTTCATAAGTTCAGACTTTAATCGCGCATGTCTAGCCGTTTCGGGACGCTGGGACCAAATTAATCCCACGTGTGGGCTGCTAATGAGAAAGTGGTCAATTTGAATTTTTAAAGCGAATATTTACTTAAATATTTCTATTATTTAAACACGATCCAATTCTAGAAAGATTTTTTATGTCCTATCCAAAAATGTATTCTATATAGAGGCATGCCTAGCGGTTTTGGGACAGGGAGCACAAACAAATTTAACTTGTGCACTGATGGCTAGAAAATGGTCCAGTGGCCAATATTTGCCAGTATTTTAAAATATTTTAGGGCACTAAAGATAGTAGTCATTAAAAAGAATAGTATATTAGTATTTTTGATGCTCTTTGCAAAAATTCGTATTATAGTGATGCACGCCTAGCCATTCCGATACGGTGGAACAAATTTAATTTCACTTGTGGACTATTGGACAGGATGTGACAAAATTGCAATTTAAATCTGATTATTTGTCCGTATATTTAGACATTATTGAAATATCTAAGAACGTGATCTAGAAGCATTCTGGATACTCATTTCAAAAATACATATTGTAGTGATGCAATTCTAACCGTCCCTGGACAGTGGCATCAAACCAATTTCACTTTTAATCTTTTGCTCAGAAAATTGTCTAGTTGTAATTTCAAACCCGTTATTTACCGGTATTCCAAGATAATTTTAGAGCATCCAAGAGAGTACTCTAGTAGCATTGTTAATGCTATTTCCAAAAATGCATATTGCAATAACACAATCCAAGCCGTTTCGGACAGTGGGCACAGACCATTATCACCTTAAACTTGTTGCCTTGAAAATTGCTAAGTTTCAATTTTAAAACGATTATTTTCCGGTATATCGAATTATTACTTGAACCACTAAGAGTGAGATTTAGAAGCATTTTTAATGCTCACTAAACACTGCGCCCAAAATAAATTCACTTCTAAGCCTCTGCCCAGTAAATGGTCAAGTTGCCATTTGAAACCAACCTCGCTTATTTGGATATCTGTTAGCGTGGTGTAGATGCTCTTTTCAAAAATGTATTCTATGTTTATGCACTCCTAGAAGTTCATGGATAGTTCACGGAGCCAAGCCAATTTCAGTTTTAGGTTTTTTTACAGAAAATGTTCAGGTTGCAATTGTAAATCAATTATTTGCCGATATATCGATATTTTATTGGAAAATTCAAGAGACTGGTCTTAGATGAAGTTTGATGCTCTTTCCAAAAAAAAAAAATCACAACATATCGATTCCGCCTTGCCCTTCCTGGACAGTGGGAGAAAACAAATTCTCTTCTAGGTTAAAGGCTAGAAAATGAAAAAAGTGAAAGTTAAAATTTGAAAATTAACAAAATTATAATTTCAACTTACAACGACATTCCATTAAAGAGACGAACTTTAATTTCAAACACTTCTCTGTAAATATTCCATAGCTCACGATTTCCGTTACCTTTTCCAAAATGCATTACAAAAACTTATTTCTTTGCCCCAAGAATTCTTATATATTTTAGACAGCTTATTTAGAAAAGAAACCTTTGTTTGTTATATTGGCAGCAACAAAAAAAATTGCCACTCGCATACATACATCAGAGCCCCCCTGAGTATGTAGGTATGTTTGAAATGCTGTTGGACAAGACAATTGGCAAACAAAAATATAATAATAATTATTATTTAAGAAGCAAGCAAGCAAGCTTCATTGAAAGCTATTCAAACAAATGCTGTTAAATAACGACAAAACTGAGTATTCCGCTCTCGAAAAAAAAATTAAATATTTACACAAAAAATTAATTATGGCAGTTATTGTCATAAGGAGGTGGAAGGAAGTAATAAAACAAATGTTACATTTTTTTGGATGGTGTCTAACTGGAAATGAGAAGAAGTAATATTTATCAGCTTGTAACACCTATCAGCTGTAGGGCCATAGCTAAGAGTCGTATTATTATTCAGGGAGATGTTTGCCAATTAAAGTGTTTCTAATTTGACAAATTGCAATTTTTATGGGCCTCCTTGAACATTTTCTGTGGAATTTTCAAAGTATATATCCAATGGTGCCTATTGGCCAGTATATGGAAAATTGATCCATATATGATGTTGTATCTATTCGAGACCTAATTGGGTAATGAAATCTATTGGGAGTTCCTCGATATTGTACTAATACAGAAGATACGTATATTTACCTGTAGGGACCCAATAAAGACATTCGACAATTTGATGGATGAATCTGGTGCCTGGTGGCCAGAATATTAAAAATTGATCCATATATGATATATATATTCGAGGCCTGACTGGGTCATGAAATCTATTGGGAGTTTCTTCATATTGTATTAATACAGAAGACCCGTATAGTCACCTCTGGGGACCCTAATAAAGGCACTCGACAATTTGATGGATAAATTAGCGTCCGCTTCTTCAGAACAGTAGCCCTTGCGTTGTTTTCAACAAGGCATATGACCTTCTACCATGACGACTTATCTGAAAAGTGTGTCTGTTGATATCCTCATAAAAACTTATAAGTTATGGCTTTAATCGAAATGGTTCGAATTTCGAATATTGAAAATGCAATGGGTATTAGCTCCAACTTTTTTTTGGAATTTTTAGATTCAAAAAAAATCATTTGACAAAAAGTAAAGAAAAGCCAAACGTCGGGCGGGCCGGCTATATGATACCCTACACCAGTATGCATATTTAGTAGAGCTCCCGTAACAAAATAATTTATTTGAAGTAGATCATACCACCTATCAACATTTGGCTTTAGAGCAGTTATAGTTTGGTTTCGGAGGGAACTTATTTATGGGAGTCATATCCAATTCAGAATCGATAAAAAAAAAATATATATTTCGGAGTCGAGTTCCACAAAATGTAGACGTACGTCCCGAAATTCGCTCCATTTGGGCTGATATTAGCCATTAATTGCACAATAAACCAGAAATCGGATTAAGGATATATATGGGAGCTATATCCAAGTCTGAACCGATCTCGATAAAATTTGGCAAACGTTTTTCCGAGCCCTATGAGATATCTGGAACCAAATATCATCGGTGTCGAATGCATATTACGAATGTGAGGGACCTAAACACCAAATCGGATGAAACATATATGTGGGAGCTATAGCTATATCTGAACCGATTTTCACCAAATTTGATGTACTTGCTTCTGCGCTGAATTCGGTTGGATGTGCTAAAATTCAGGTCATTTGGGCTAATATTAGCCATTTGGTGCACAATTAACACGAAATCGGTTGAAGACATATATGGGAGCTAAATCCAAATCTGATCCGACTTCGATAAAATTTGGCAGAGGTATTTCCGAGCTCTATAACATATCTGGTACCTAATATCATCGGTGTCGAATGCATATTACGAATGTGAGGGACTTAAACACCAAATCGGATGAAATATATATGTATATATGGGAGCTATAGCAATATCTGAACCGATTTTCACCAAATTTGATGTGCTTGTTTCTAGACTGAATTCGGTTGGATGTGCCAAAATTCAGGTCATTTGGATACATATTGGCCATTTGGTGCACAATTAACACGAAATCGGTTGAAGATATATGTGGGAGCTACTTCCAAATCTGATCCGATTATCACTAATTTAAATAGGGTTCGTCTTTAGGCCAAACAAATACTGTTTGGAAAATTTCATCTCAATCGGATAATAAATGCGACCTGCATTTTGTTCACAATAATACATGGACTGACGAACGGATGGGTTGACATGCATAAATCGACTCAGAAAGTGATTCTATGAAGATCCTCAAAAGTAACTACGGGTCTATCTCGCTTCCTTTTCCATATTACAAACAAATACCCAAAGCCATAACACCCTTAGGGTATAACCGTTTAAAAATCTAGAATCGGTGGATTTCTGAGAATATTTCCAAAAAATCTGTTGTTCCTCATTTGGAGAATTTTTTCTGATATAAATATCTTTTTTATACCTCTTCTACATCTACAGAGATTTTCTGGCTTAGATGTTCTCAAAAGAAGCCTCACGGGACATTATATCTATAGAAGACCTCCTATAGTACGTCCTCCTATGGAATATCGAACAAATAAAGGAAATTTTTATAAAGAAGATCTCATGCGAGATTGGTATACTTTTATAGTAAACCTTATTTGGATTTTCCAGCCTAAAGACGACGTAATAACAATATTATTTGGCTTCACACGGCTTCTTGGGCTCATGAAATGTTTCATAGCCATCATCATATTTAGAGTAGCCATAGCGGTTGGATCTAAATATATCCCACATCTAATATTAGCCACTTTATTTTTAGAACAAATCCCCGTAACTTTATTTAATTTCCTGCTAAAATCCTTCTCTTCCTCGTCAAGATAGTCAAACCGGTAGTTATTTAAAGGAACTGACATTGTCACAATGTGGTTCAGAATATTCTATTCAACTACTACCCTTCTTTTCCAGGCATTTGTTGTTTTTTAAACAATTCAGGTGAATCACCCCTAATGACCTATGACGAACAAACAAAAAGTGGGGGTGATTGTTGTTTTTTTTTTTCTTTTCACAAACCGCATAGGATACTTATATCTCCTCCACCAAAACAATTTGAAATGTTATCCATTTGTAGACAAATGTTCAGGAGATGGGGGAGGGGGGTTGAAGTAAAGCCAGTTACTTTGCTTCCGATTCCACCCTTACCCAATACTCTTCCAAGTAGACTCGGGTTACAAAATAACAACAACAATAGCAGCACATCGCAACGTAATAACCTTAAGCTGTTGTTGTAGATTCACATAAATCCAAATTCGCATACAAACAACAAGAACAACAACTATGACAGCGATATACATATTTAACAAATATCAAGGTCACACTACTAAGAAATCTGAAATCATCAACAAACTGTAAGAACTGGAAAATAGATTATATGGAGGTATGAACACATCGTTTCACAATTGATACCTCTGGAAAATAAAACTTACGTAAAATCCTGATTAAAATTCATCTCATAGCCTGCCTTAGAGGAGGACAATGATAATGATGAAGTTGCGTTGGTATTGCTCGAAGACATTGTTGGTTCTTCTTCCTGCTGGACACTTTTCTTTTTTTGTATTACTTTCAATTTCAAATTGCCTCAACAGATTTCACAATAATGCTTCGATTAGCTTTGCTATATTTCTCGTTATACTTTCTTTATTTTTATTACAATTTTGCAATAATTTTTAATTTCTCAGCTCTCACAGAACTTCTTCAATTGCTAATTGCTTTTCGTTTACGTTTATTGTAGATTTCTCTATTTAATAAACTTCACTTTTCAACTGCACTTTTTCAACTGCTGAACTAAAAAACAATCAACTTTTTAAAATGTTTATATTTCTTTTGTTTGATTTTGTTCGTTCGTTTTTTTTTTTTTGTGTGTTTCTTCTATGTACTCAATTCTCTATTTCTCTATTGTATCTCTGCTCTGCTCTGTTTGTGTGTTGTGCGCCCAGAGACGTCAGAGTAAATACAAGCAAGCAATTTTGTTTTGTTTTGACTTGAGTTGTTGCTGTTGTTGTTGTTCTATATCTTGTTTTGTTCTGCTTGTATTTGCGTATTATATTTCGTTTCGTATCTATTTTTTTAGTTGTTTTGTTTTGATCTCATCTCCATTGAGGGGAAATGACAAGTAACGTTAGTTCAAATAAAACAGTTCACATTATAAAACTAAAGGGACTAGTTAAATGTCTTCATTCCCTTGAAATCATTTCATCGTTCATTCAATGAACCAAACCATTTTTGGAATTTAAATTTTTGAATGAAAAATTATTCAAATTTGTAAAAATTGTTAAAAAAAATGCATATCATAACAACCTCCGATTGGCGTCGTATAGGAAAACATATACAAATCTGCTTATTTTTAAAGAACCATTTACTTCTTTTGACATATCAATGCTCCTAAGCGTCGATGCATCTACCTTCTTCTACCATGATTCATATGCTTCGTCTGATGTACAAGAGCTTGATTGCGTGAGTAATGGGCTAAGTACATAAGAAGCTTGAAGTCATGGCTAGGCATATGAATGTCAAATTATAATGGAAAACGACGGCTGGATTTTAATGCGGCTCTGTAATTCCTTTGTGAAATGTCACAAAATATGCCTAGCCATGACTTCCAGCTTCTTATGTACTTAGCCCTTAAAAATGTAGGTATTAAGAGCCGTGCTTCGAGAACTATTTAAAATTAGGAACCGCTAACTGGTTGCGTAGATCGTTGGATTTAACGTCTTTAGAATAGTTTTGTGGGACTATGTTAAAGCTTAGGCTGGAAATACATAAAGCGCTTATTTGGCTGGCTTAAGTCATCGGCTGGCTTCTTCGGAAATGAACAAAGGAGCCTGGGGCCAAAATCGAACTAGGTCAACCTAAGACTCCTTTGTTCATCTACGAAGAAGCCAGCCGATTACTTAAGCCAAATATGCGCTTTATGTATTTCCAGCCTTAAGCTGTAAGTACATAAGAAGCTTGAAGTAATGGCTAGGCATATTTTGTGACATTTCATAAAGGGGTTAGAGAGCCGCACTAAAATCTTGCCATCGTTTTGCATTATATTTTTGCATTATAATATGCCTAGCCATGACTTCAAGTTTTTTGTGTACTTGCACCTTTATGACTATACAGACGAGCAGGCTTCTAATGACGCATTGGAACACAATATTCGAGCATTTATTCGTGATGTCCCAAGATAGTTTTTCTTTTTTATAGCTCTTAAAAAACACCCTTTAAAAGGTTTTTTTTTGAATGTTCGTTGTTCATCATTGCTTTTTCTGTCATTGTAGTTCATATTTTTGTATAAAAATAAAAACACGAAAGGAATTGCCACATATTTTCCATTTCCATTTGTTTTACCTCTATTTCCCCATACAAATATAGACTTGCTACAATTAAACTTGCCTAATGTATATTGAGTTAAAGCTGCATTGATTTGTTCATTATCAATATTCACTTCATAGAACTATGACATTATCGTTGAACTAGTTCCTTAAATCTTATGGCTCCACTAATCTTATTTGTATTTTTTGGCTAAATCTTGATTTTCGCTCAATTTATTGTTTGTTGGAAAGACTTAAATTCTGCAACATTGATTTTTATGTGGATTTTTTTCACGCCAAACTTTAAATTAATTAAATTATTTTCTTATTTCATTGTTAAAATATGGCGCACCAAATTCAAATGCGTACCAAAAAATAACTCAGTGCTGCATTTTGTTGGAATATACAGTAAGTTAAACCTGTACATGTAAATAGCCAAATTTTTCATCTTGCCCATGGTAGAAGAATATAAGTATCTGCAACAACTCTTGGGAACATTCATATGTCAAAAATTTTAAATTGTTTTGTCAAAAATAAGCATATCTTTATATGTTTACTTATACGACACAAATCGGAGGTTGTAATAATATGTATTTTCAGCAATTTTTACAAATTTCAATAATTTTTCATTCAAGATTTTCAATTCCAAATTTGGTTTGACAGTTCATTGTCCCAGCAGTTGTGTCGATGCGACTACCTGTATTCTTCTACCACGATCTTGCCTGATTAGTCCAAATTCCACCTTGGTGGCTACGTCAAAATCATCTTGGACTTGGAAAATTTAGGAGCTAAGTTGGAGATATACTCATTTTCGTATCTCCACGTTAAACATTCAATATTTTACCGGAAAAACATTTTGGAAAATGCCTTATATTTTCGAAAATTGAAAAAAACTTAGTAAAATAAAAAAGTGAACCTTCTGCAATTCTTGGTACAATAAAAAGGTATTTATTTTTCTAAGTATGCTCGACTTCTGCCAATTTTATGTATGTATTTATTGTTTTGAAAAATAAAAACAAAATATTTTCAAAATCAATGATTGGAAGAAGCTTTCGTTGCGGGACGCAAATTGAAGCTATTCGCCAGTTTTGCCGTGTAATTGAAAGATCGAACTATTTAGATCTTATTTCTGAAGGAAAATCCAGGTATTTCATTCATTTTTCGCGTTTTCCAAGTTGTATTTTCAAATATATTGTCTTTGTTGTTTTATTATTTTTCGAATAAAATTTTGAAAAAAAATTATAAGACTAGTATATTCATGCATGTGAAGGAACGACACATTATCTTAGTCTCTGTGTGAACGTCGTATTTGCCCTTTGTTTGCAAAATACAAGACAAAGGAGGTCATTGTCAAAATACCAAAATTTGGCTTTGTGCCGTAATCTTCAATAAAAGGCGTATTTTATTTATTTACTGCTCTCTTTTTCCTTTTTATCAATTGTTGTTCTTTTTCATTTCATCGTAGAATAAAAATTTTTCACTCTTGCGTACAGCGTCGAAAAATACAATTCTAATTCAAGACAATTCGTCTTGTGTAAACACCAAGTTATTTGCCGCATTCAACAGGTAAAAACTGGCGCCGTCATAAATTTCATACAACGGCTCCATAGTTTATTTCGGAGGCGTCATTTCAATTGGATTGCATTGCCGCCGTAGGTGCAACAATTTAGTTTGACTCGGTTCTCTGTGTTGGCCACAACACTTTCTTCTTAAATTATTTTTGTTTCTTTCTTTTGATATTTAACGAAAAAGTATCTACGAAAACTAACTAAAATTATAACAAGTGCCTTTAATTACTCGCTAGTAATACGAAACGAATAAGCTAATAATCATAAGAAGTTATTATTTAACATAAAAAAGAAAACTAACACAAGAAAATTTGTAACCTAAACGCGACGCAGCAAACACGTAAAGAAAACCAGAAGACGACAAAAACTCGCAGCCAGACGACAACGTTGACGTTAAACGAAAAAAAGTAGTAGTAGTTGAAAATGTAAATGGAATTCGGTGACGCTCGTCGCTGGCCAAGAATAACAAGAATTCAAGTTAGAATAGAACAAACAACAACAAAACTTAAGACCAACAACAAATAGCTGCTTGGCTAACGTGAGATTCTACCAAAAAGCAAAAGAAAGCTAGCTTGCTACCACAGAGTGTTTTTTGTGGTGTTACGTACCTACGTACATTCCACTGTATGTATGTAGCGCGAGTTGTGTGCGCCTGATATTGTGTGCAGCAGTGTGTTTTTTGGGAAATTTGTGGATTTCTTTTAAATATTCCCAACGAAAAAAGTGTCTTACAACAAGCGAACGCCAACTAAAATTCTACCAACCTGGAGCAGTGGAAAGTCATCAAACATTTGAAAAATGCCTTTAAAATTTCTCAAGAAATGTCGACAATATAATGTGACATCGAAAAGTCTTTTTGTCATATCAGTGCATCATTTATTGGGTGAGTAAAGAATGAGCTAGTGAGTGTAGAGTGCATGTGTTTGTTCGTTTGTGTGTTTGTTGATGGAGATCATAGTGAAGAGATCAATCAATTGCAAAGTGTACAAGTGCCATAATTTAATTGAGAGGGAGGGGGTGGGGGAGTGGAGTCATCTCTTGTCAACCATGCAATTGTTTTTGTGTGCGGGGGTGTCTCTCATTGACTCGGGTATCATGTGCAATGTAATTAGTAGGTGGAGTAGGGCTCACATTACTCTTCTCATTACACACTGTTGTTGTTGTTGTTTTTATTGTTTGTGTTGCAATTCTCCTCACACTAGAGATGGCAAAATTAAGGAATGTCGCCGCCACAGCACAATTGTTTGTATTTGTTGTTATACGACGATGTCTGTCGGAGTCGTTCGTTCCACTTGACTTTCTTTGTTGTCATAAGGGTTCCGTGTACTGAGTGTGGGAGAGAAACAGAGAGTGTTGTGTGGTATTGCACAAAAGAGCAAGTGCATTGACGCTTGATTGTTTTCCTGTTGATTTTCATTGTTGTTCTTGCGCTCCTATTCTGTCAAAGTTACCGAGAGGGCTGGTCATTTGTCAAATTGCAGCCAAGCCATGCATGATTTTGGATAAAATTGATTGGAATTTATTATAAAAAACATATTTTCAACTATTTTCTGGAAGAAATGTATGGGTAAAATAGCCAGTAACGTTTTCAATAAAGTTTTTATCTATTTTTTTTTTACTTTTTTAAGATCAGACGTGCCAAAAATGTAAGACGGCAATGCTTTTAAAGAAACCCCTCCAAGTGGCATAAGGAACGTCGAAAACAGCGATAAATTTGTCCACACCGGAACTTTGGTGAAAATTATCAAGCTCTAAAGACGTTATAGATATTCTCCATTGATTTTTTGATATTCTCCACCATGATTTAATTGCATTCCTATATTTTTATTGCAATTGTTTTCAATCTCCATGACAAATACAATACGCCTTCCATTCCCCGAAAGAGACCTCACAAATGTTAATGTACAGCAAAAAATGCATTCACTCATCAAAATATTTAAACGAAAGCAAAAAAAAAAAAAGAAAAATTACACTAAATTCGTCGACGTCAATGAACACTTTACACCGGTAGGCAGGCAGTGCAGGTGTGTGTTTTTTTTTTTGCACATACATTTTTTCGTCGCAGTCACTGCACGTTCGTGCACATTGCTGCTTTGCGCATGCCTAACCAACCATGTACAGGTGTAGTGATTGCTCTCTGCCAATCGCGCCATCCATTCAGTGTTACAATAAAGGAAAGAAAAAAACCAAAACATTTTTTAAATTCCTTTTATGTGTACAATTGTTTTTTTTTTTT